TGTTAATGAATACATTAACCAACCACCAGATGCATGAGATACCCAGAGAAAAAAGCTTAAGTATTTTGTTTTATTTCATTGTATGTATGTTTTGACTGGTGCTTCTGAAATAATTTTCATCTTTGGTCTTTCCAACAATCTCTAACTCCTTAAACACTGCCTTCCTTTTGCTCTATATGGGCATATTGCTTGGTCTCACTACCAGAACCAGCATACCTTGGGTTGCATTTATGTCACTGTTTTTACTCTCAATTTCCATCTGACAGACAACTTGTATCTGAAATGCCCTGTCAGCCCATTTGTCTCCGTTGCCTAATTCACGTGCCTTAGAGCCTTCTATCTTCAGAGCCTGATTGCCAAGGACTATCCAACTATATTCCCTGTTTATCTGCATCCACATACAGGCTATTAAAATCAAGCTCTGTGCGACCTGCAGATTTGCTCATGGCAAGATTTTTGAAAACACCTGCTTTTCAGCAGTGGTCCAGCCTTACAAGATGAAGAGGGTAAGGATCTAGAAAAAGTGAAACATAGGTAATGTTTGTTAGATGCCCTGTTCAAGTGCAGAAGATGAAATATATTTTTTAAAAAATACTTTTCAAAAATAATTTTAATGTTTCAATAGATAGAAACATTGACAAGGGAAATAAGGGAGCCCTGAGGATTAACAAAGAGGGTACGTCAAGACCTTTTATTCTGACTGTCTGCTGCTGGGTGATTTAGTAGCCAAAGGAAGGAATACTCCTTTCCAGTAGCGAATCTAATTCCTAAATTAGATTTCATCCTGGTAAAGATGGGTGATTTAGTAGCCAAAGGAAGGAACACTCCTTTCCAGTAGGGAATCTAATTCCTACATTAGATTTCATCCTGGTAAAGGGTGGTTAAAATTTTACTTACACAATGAAATGTAACAGACTATTTTACCTTTAGTAAACTTGTCAGAAAGGTGACTGAGACACACTAGATGTAATGAAAAAGGGAGATGTTGTTGAAAGGTTTGCAACCTAAGTTTGCAAAAAGTCACAGTGAAGCTGCTTTTTACTCATCTCTCATCTTCATCATGGGCAACCAAAACCTTCCAAAGCTCTTTTAGTTTCTGGTAACAGATTCACATGAAGACTATATGAAGACAGGATTTTAAGAGACTCCTGTGACCCTAAGAATTTAAATTGGAAATAAAAACTAAGATACCTTTGTATTAGTAATCAGGAGCAACTAGTTAAATCTCCATACCTGCTTACACAGAACTGATAGTTGCCCAAAGATCTGTTTTATCCAGAATGGTCATCTTTGAGTCAAATTATTTCCTGTTAGGGAGAGTCACTTTCAGGCCATTCCTTGATCCTATTTTGAATACAGGAAACAAGCTGGATTGTTCTCTGGAGCAAGAAATTAATTTTTACTATGCTTGCACAGAGCTTATCACAATGAGGTCCTGGTCTACAGCGCTAATGAAATTCAGTTATAATAATAGTGCAAGCAGCACCTACACCTCATATGCTCCCATTAATGCTACAGAATGTGGAAATATGTGCAACCTGATATTAACATTCAAGCTGAGACAAGAGTTTTAATAACACAGTCCTATTTGATTGGTGTCGATAGATTCTCTTAAGCAAAATGTTATCTGAGGACCACGATTACTGTTCTGATTTTACCCCAGGTTATATGAAACCTAGTACTTTTAATAGAACAGGCCTTTGGACTCTGGTGATCAGGTGAAAAAATATCTCAGCTTAGATCCAATTAAAATGAAATTTTAATTCTCACAGTTAAGAATTTCTGGACACTTTGAGTTAAGAATATCCCAAGTCATATACAAAAAGCAAATACACTGTATTTGTGGTTATAGGTACACAAGGATACAAATTACCACATAAAGTGAATTAGTAGCCTTCATGTTTACCACTCTAGTCTTCTCAACCACAGAACTGATTCTATTCTACATGTCATTTGAAGCAGCAAGTGTAGTCACAGAAGTACAAAATTCACACTGCTGAAGAGGATTCTGACACAGACAGCAATAAGTGATCCTATAAGCCTGGACAATCCTATTGAGATTTAAATATTTGCCTTTTCTCAGAGAAGAAATAAGCAGAGCATTCCTATACCATCTAGTGCTTTGAGTCAAAAAATAGCAAAGTTTTCCACTATCTGATATCAGCCACAGAACTTCTGGACAGGATCAAAAGTGACAAGACAGAAGAAGATAAGAATTCTAGTGACTGCATCAGTGACTGAGAGTTACCCATAGATACTCATTCTGTTTCTGTTCTTAAGACAGAAGGATAAATACCGGGAAAAAACCCACCAGTACACAAGTTTAGAAAGCGGTGCTTAAGAATTCTTGCCAACAGAAAGAAGGATATTTTAAAAATCCAAAAGAGAAATGAAAAGGGAGGCTAATCAGAAACTGAAAAGGCTTATTAAAATTCTTTCAGTGTTCTAACCAAGTGTGTAAATCTAAATACCTAAATATTCTTCCTTCTCCTCCAGTAGAAACCATAGAATGCAAATGTCAAAAACAGAGAAAGTCAAGGGACAGTGCTAACATATTGTACTTCTACTCAGCATCCTGAAAACACTCCATCAGTTACATGAAGTATAAATGCACCTGAATTTAGCCCTTTACAAGCTACATAAGCCAAGCACACAGGTAAAACATGCACATGCCTCTAGAGTGAAACACTATATAACCATTTCAGATTAAACCGGAAAATTCTTCTCAGACCTATTGAGAAAATTTGTGCCTGGGATTTCAATACACAAAATCTAATTAGTCAAGGTAAAAATAACCATGTATACGACCATAAAGAATGCCATGGGATCTCAAATGTTAATCATCACCAGCATCCCTCTCACGTCTGGATATCGTAAAAAAACCAACCCTGAGTGTGCAAACAGAGGGAGCTTCCCCACACAGCCAGAAGGGTGAAGGTACATTTTCCTTCCCATATATCTGTTTCAAAGGATTTTGAGCAACTTGTCCTGTTATGATCTTCATAATGTATCTTAATGCTGGTTAGCTTTGTTCTCTTGGGGGGGATCTTAAGCTGTTTGTATCTAATAAAATACTCCATCTTAATATATATATAGTAATAATGTCTTAAGAACATTACTCTTGTAGACAGAAACCAATAAAAGAAGGTCTATAAAGAAGGGATGCAGGTTTGGTACCAATTTGAAAACAAGAGATTAACACTAATGAAGGACAGAAATTGTTCTTATACAAGCCACTTGAATTTTAAAAATATGTATAGTTTAAGGAAAACACATATAACAAATTGTGTGTTTATAGTGAGTATACCTCCCTATACATATCACCAACCCACAAGCGAGTATGAACACAACAGTCTAACAAGCATGTCTGTTATAAAATTATTCCTCAGAGCAATGGAATATTATGGATTACCTTAGCAATTAATGAAATTAATTAAAGGCTCCTTGAAACATTCAGATCAGGAGAAAGATGCATAAGAAGTTTTTCTTTAGCTAATTTGAGATTATTTGAGTGCTGTGCTCCCTCGGCAGGAGACACACTAACAGGTTCCTGCAGCTTTGTAAAACCATGGGAAAACAGACTCCTCGGGGAATTGCCGCACAAGCACCTCCTTGTGGCGCTGAATCCTCGGAGCAGAAGCCGTAAAAGAGATGCTATCTGAAAACCTCCTGGGATTTTCCTTCAGCTTCTTTGAGGGGATGTACTTGTGGGAATCTACCGAGGAGCAAACCTCCAGCAAGAAGTTTGACTTACCGAGGGATTGCAGAACTGCTACCCTAAATCAAACATTTGTGCTGCTCAGACTGTGTATCTCTCCAAGCTCCAAATGCATGATCAGGGATTAACAGAACGAGGATTTAATCTGGCAACTATCACAGTCAAAATATATACACATACTTTGATATTCAAACACACAGCTGTGCATTCAAGAGATGCAAACACAATGCATCTCTATATAAAACTGAGGATGATAATCATTACTAATCTACATGACAGAAATACTTAGGGACACGTGATTTGAGTGATATTTTAGACACAGTGATCAGTGGTTTCCCAGGCTTTGGTTCACTGGAAACAGGGCAGTAAATCTTCCTGCAGGTACACAGTGATGCCATTGCTGTGGCTCAAATTGGCAGGGAAATCAGATTACAGTTCAATAGGCCTACAATAAAATTAATTAATGTTATGGAACTTTGCCACAGTCAAGTATTATGATTCTAGTCTTAATGGCTTTACTACACAGCCTAAAATGATTTGAGAAGTCCTTATACATACCCCACAGGGTATATTATATGCAGATGACATCCTAAATGTCTTAGTTGCTTACAAATAAAGGATGAACAACTTTTTGACAGTTATGATACACAAATTAGTGAAAATGAGATTCTAGAAAGACAATCAGAAGAAAAAGGGTGATTTAGTAGAAATCAATATATTTTCCAACTAGTACTTAAGGGAAAAGGCACAGAACAAAAGTTTCCTCTCCTCAGTGAGTGAAGAATTGCAGGTTAAAGCATAAATGTTTACTCATTTTTCTCAGACAAATTCTGCCTTAGTACTAGATGGAATTAAAAAAGAGTCTCCTCTTGTTTTGAAAGGCGAAAGATTTTGAGTACCCAGCTGTAATCCTACAATGATTATGTGTCCAGTGGAAAGATGCTAGCTAGTTCTATTAAAAATGCCTTTACATTACATACTAGATGATAAATTGTGATGGCAGGTAGATTTTTTTTTCCTCTGGGAAAGAACCCAAAACCAACCAAACAAAAAAACCACCCCACAAAACAAAAAAAACTTCCCAGTCAAGCAGCCAAAAACTGAACTATTTGCTTCCCAAATGAAAATTTCTTCCGCTTCAACAAGAAATTAACTTGCATAATTTACTAGACTGTAATACTCATACAATCATAGAATTTAAGGGCTGGAATGTACCTTACAGATCATCTAGTCCCAATCCCCCACTGGCTTGCTGGAGTCATGTGAAACACTTGTATAAAGGTTAACCCATCATACTGCGATGCCTTTTCCTCATTTCCAGCAGTACATGCTGTAAGGGCATCCTTAACTGCGATGCCTTTTCCTCATTTCCAGCAATACATGCTGTAAGGGCATCCATGGATGTACACACCTGTCTTACATAAGCAACAACTGCCTGTATCAACAAAGTTAATGTAATCACAAATTGGAAAAGATGCCCTATGTAAGAACTGATTGTCAACAATGGAAATTGGTGCACTTACTGATCTTGCTACTAAAATCTTGCTCAGATATTACAAAAAGAAAGACACTGCTCTAGGCTTCAAAATTCAGCTGATGTGGGCTGAATCTTTCTTAAACAGATATGATTGTATTTCAATGTCTTTTGTAATTATGACAATTTTGACAAGATAATCATCTGTTCTGAACAAGGACTTTTTAAGGTTTAGAGACATAACACATAAGATTTATTTAATAATCTGTCAATTTTTCTATGAACCCTGCTTTCAAAAGAAATACTATGATTTCATTAAAATAATTACAGAAAATCTACACCTGAAATTATAAATAACAAGTACCAGGTATACAAAGGAGTGATCTAAAAGTACAGGAACTTGAAAGATTCAAAAGGTGATAGCATAACTTTGTTCTATTAAGATAGTTAACAGAAGTTTCCATGTTAAATATCCTGCACACTAGGTCAACTTTTGAACCATAGTCTTCAAAATGGAGAGAAACAAGTCTGTAGCTATGCTAAAATTACATAATCTAGAAATTACATAGCAGCCTCATTTCTCTCTCCTTTCCTCACACTTTGTTGCCTGTTTCCTCTTACTGCTTTTGGAGAAAAGCAAAAGCCAATACTACAGAGCACAACAATCACTCAGAGAAGCAGAAGTACAGGATAAAATCAATAGGAAGTGTCTTTAAAATTTTAAACATCATATCAATTTTAATTGTATATATTAATATTTCTTCTAGGGCAAGATAGGAGTGGGAAAACCAAGGAATAGAATGGTATGGTGTTTAGGCAGTACAGATGTAGAACAGTAGGCACAAGAAAGAGGATGAGAACAGCTCCGAAATTTCTACAGAAGAGTTGCTTCCTCTTAACTCCTGCTGCCACCAATTATGGTCTTACTGTAGTAGTCAGCACTGCACTTGCAAAATTCAAGTACGTTTTGCCTCTTATACTGGGGAAGTTATCCTCTTTTAATTGAAAACTCCTGCTTTTGGAGAGCAAAGGGTGAAGTACTCAAGCAACACAAGGTTGATGACCATGTAGGCAAAGCTTCTTAAGACACTTCAAGATAAAAACCCCATAGTATTCTCTGAGAAAATGCTACAGATACAGAAGGTTTTCCACCTAAGCTACCTGCAAGACACAGCACTTCTGTCATTCCACCGCAGCAGAACATGGCAGAACTCAAACTCCTACCTGTGAATAACACCACCAGAATAAGCTCCTGCACGATTCCCACTGACTGGCATTCTACATTACAACCACTCCAGCAGAAGTGGTTCCTATCGCTTGGCGAGAATGAGGACTTGACAGCCTACGCACAAACCTATTCCAAGTATAAAATGACATTTTATTCACCACAAAATCAACCACTGTGTTTCTGAACAGCTATTTAATGCTACAAGGTTAGCTCTTTCAGAAGGCATTCAGAAAATTGTTCCATTTCTTCATAGAGCTGAATTACAAAACAAATGTATAAATAGAATGAGTTATTTAAATAGGCGAATGGATAACAGATATGGGAGAATTCCAACAATCATTTTCTAAGAGGCTATCTTCTCCAGAGAAGTGAAATTTAAAGACAGGAAATTCACATTTTTTTTTTCAAAATTCTTTTAAAGTATTTTTTCCTGTAAGAGGAAAGAAACAGCCAAAAAAATTTATCAAATGATATAAAAGAAACTTCAAAAACGTCACGTCAACTCACCAGCCTGATTACAATTTTCAACAGATGTTTCAGTTGTTGTTTATCTTTTTTGGACTTCAGTACTTCAGCAAAGCTGTCCATATTTTCTGGAGACATAATCTTCTGGCTGTCTCCTCCATACAGCTGACCCAGCAATAAGAAGCACCGTGAGGCACTCACAAATATTTCAGTATCTTCACTGCGAAGCTAAAAATGAACCAAAAATGAACAAACAAAAATCAAATTGCAGTTTCAGAAAAATTGCATATCACTGGGGATTTGGAAGAGTATTAACATTTGCATTGTGCCAGGAAGGAATCATTTCTAGTTGACTGACTCAAAATTCCATTAAACGAAGCTTAATAAAGTGATGAAAATATAATTAAAATATATCTGTTCTTAAGCAGCAGTATAATAATGTCTTCACTATGATTCTAGCAAATCACCTATCTACAGCAACATCATAACAGCACTGGAAATGTTGCTTCCAACTATCCTATTTCATTTTGCTTTTAACAGAAGTAGTAATAGCAGAAAGCATCATTATAGCCATGATGTCTAATCTTCTACATTATGCACACCATAAAATTTCATTTAATAATTTCTAAATCAAGTCTATGGCTTCTGGTTTAGGTAGAGCACAGGCTACCTAGCTATTTAATGGATTTTAAGTAGTTACATTAGGAGCTACGTTTTGAAGATTTTAAGTATTTTCCTGCATTCCAGCTTTTCTGCACTCCTTTGAAGATTAGACACTGCAGCAGGCCCTAGCAATAGGGTGGAAAATTCTTTCCTGGGAAGCAAAATTATGGAAGAGATTTAGGGACATGACTAGTAATCATCTTTATGTGAGCTTCTGATAGTATGACACTGCTATCAAAATGATTTATATCTTTCTTGAAAGTACAATCTGGAAATAACAAGTAGAGACATTCTATTCTATTCCATTTGATTCCATTCTATGCTATTATGCTGTATTTGGCACTGACAATAACATCTGGAATGACAACAGGAATGCAACACCTAGTTTTCAGGAAAGCTAGCCATAGAGGTTTCTTGGGAACAGGCAAGAAGATGAGAGATTGGAAAACATAACAGCAAAGGACTGAGGGAATTCAATGTCTAGAGCATATCAAAGAGAGGGTTAAAGGGCACTTGATCACATCCTCTCAGTTACTGTGAGAAAAAGCAGGCTGAAGATAGGTTAATTCCTATACCTGGAATAGGACTGGTAAGAGATGATAGCTTGAAAGTTTAGACAAAGCAATTCAGATTAGAATGAAGATAATACTTGGACTACCTTTTTTCTTTCTCTCTTTAATAAGAGCAATTAACTGCTGAAACAACTCTCTTAGAACTGAGACAGATTCTCCACCAAAGGCAATTCAAGTATCACAAAAATATATTTTTTTCTAAAAAAATAACAAAACCATTTACTATAACGAGGAATTAATTGAGGAAAGTCCTGTCTTATGTTATATACTATCCTCAACTAAATGACTTCAACAGCTTTTTCTCACTTTATAATCTATGACCTGAACAAAATACATTGGTGGAGGTCTTAATCAATTAGGTATAGAAGTGTAAAAACACCTCATCACTCCCACTCATTTTTTAATTCCAAAATTACTATTTGCATACAAAGAAGTTAAAGTACAGTTAACAAACTCTCCTTATGGACAATAAAGGCAAATAATTTATATAATCTGTCCAACCATTTATATAACACACCCAACCATTTCAATAATGATTACCTATTTAATCTGCAGTATGAGTTTCCTAAGTTTTTTCATTCTAAGGAAATCCCATACAGTTACTTTAAAGCAATCTGAACATATCATCAGACACACACCCTTCAAATATTCAAGCAGCAATTCCCCAGGGATCTGCATGCAAATATAATCCTGTTTTCCACTAGCTTTGTAGAGCTGGCTGTTTAAAACAGACTGAACTGAGATGTAATCTCAGAATACATAGCCCCAAGCCATATCACATCCTATTTGACCTAATGCTATGCAAGTGACAGGACCACAGCAGTTATTTCTTCCTCAGTTTTGCTGTATGGTTTCTCTTCATGACAATCTAAATGCCATCTATTTGATTGTTTCCTTTCCAACATCCAGAATTATCTAATAACATCATCAACTTAATTAGCAAGGCTAAAAAGCAGGAAAAGCTACAAATAGTAACAAGCTTTATAGCTCCATTTATACCTTCAATCCTTATCAAGATTTTTTTTAAAAAAATCCACTGATCTCACTGGGGGTTTTGAGATGATTTGTATTTCCTTTACTGAAATAAAATGCAATTAGGTAACAGAAGGACAAACTAAACTACTTTAATATATGTCCCTTACACCTTTTAAAAGCAGCAACTCCAATTTACAGTTTGTTATTAGATCAGTGCAGACAGGTATATCAACCACTCCCTGAAGAAAATCACAGTACAAATGTTGTTTGATGGCTAACCAAAAAAAAAAAAAAAAAAAAATCAGTGAAAATTTTGGACAGATATATCCTTGCCAAGATATTGCAGTTGAGACTAGTTCCTTGGGCTCCATAAGCACAGAAATCCCATGTGTAGTCAGGAATCACAACAGCCATACTTAGACATGAGACTGTTCCCAAGGTCTTTTTCTGAGATACTCACTAAATATCAGAGAAGTGGAAAGGTGTCAGTCTCTGTTGAGGATTGCCCTACAATAAACTTGTGTGAAGAAACACATAAGCATCACATTATTCAATCTCAAATGCCAATGAAGCCCTTCATCCCCTGTTGTACTTTAGGCTCTTCTGCTCCTCTGCTTCACTAGAGTCCCTTTGAGCTTCAGTGTTATCTAGACTTCGGGGAGCAAGTTGCTGTTACCCTGGAAAAATTCAGGGTAAAACAATAACAGCATAGGTCTTGTACGAAGAGAAAAACAAGCTGGGAATAGGAAAGACCATATTTACTCTGGAGAGAATGAGAATCACTGGCATACAGTCTAACTCTTCAATAATTAAGGTAGAAGAGGAACCTCTCAGCAATGTCCCTATTTAAGTATGTCTGCATCAGCATTTTTCTCTGTAACTCTCATCATTTTGCTGTTTCACTACTGACAAGTAGTGATTTAGATGTCAAAAGCCCTAAGCTGGTAACCTGAAATTTAGCATGGGCTGCCAGTCAGTGCTAGTACTGCTTATAAAGAGTAGAGGATCTGAAGAAAATTACTGGTATAAAACAAAAGCAGTGACTGAAAATATAATAAATATCCGTAAATATAGAAAACCAAGGCATGAAAATTCAGCTTTCAAGTGAGTAGATGTCTTGTGTTTAACAAGAACAGTAAAGACAGAATCATGTTTCTCAACAATGAATACAGATGGACGGTTCACCTCTTAATTAGCTGGAACAACATTCTGAATATTTTTCTAATCATAGCAATTCGATTTGGTATGAAGTATATTTCTTTGAAATGCATTTACAGTTTTTCATAACAGCAACTAATTAAGTTTTGTTCTTTCAGGGGAGGAGGAACCCACAAAACAGAGTTCCAATGCTTTAAGAAAATATCTGCCCCATATTTCATATTTACATGAAAAAAGTCTAGTGGCCTTTCATTTCTTTTTGCTTTACCAGTCTTAGATGGAATTATGGATTCAGAAATGTTAGTAGCATTTTTCCTTGCAGCTGTTAATATTCTGGGCTAGTGTACAGCTTGAAAAAAACCCACATCTTAAATTACTAAACAGCTAAGGTCATAAACTTTGCCATTCTCTAACTCAAAACTGTAGATCTATTTTACACTTCAAAACTTTAAAATAATACCTCATGAAAAGACTTCAGTGCAATGAAGATAGTGTATTACCCTTTACTTAATTTTTATAGCCTTGTTATAACTTCCTGCAAACAGGCTTGTAACACAAAACGCCTCTTCCTTTCTAGACAGAACCTGTTCTGTGCATTTTAGAGTTAATGTGGTGAAGAGCAGGAAGTTTTCTGTTATGGCACATCTATATTTCTGCAGCTTGTTCTCAAAAATTCCATCATTTTGAACTGAGTTGCAGTGTGTTCATGAATTGCAAAGCACTGCAAGAAACGTGTCATCATTTGAGCTGAAGTGGCAGTTTTCACACCATCGGAGTTGTTACAGCGTCTAATTTTAGAGCTACAATGAAACTGTCTGGATTACCCAGAGGGGACACTATTTCAGTGCATTAATGAGGTTATACACTAAGCGAGTTTATTACGATAAGAGATAGATATTCATTAGATCACTAATGTGATTACAGAATGTGCTGTAAAGGAAGCACCATTGGGATCTATAGGGAAAAAGATTTTGCAAACATTGAACAAAATGTAAAAGCAAAATATCACTATTAATCTGCAAACTTTACTATCCTATACTTATTAGAAAATATGCACAGTTTCAAATTAAAAAAATAAATATTTTGACTTCGGGCAAAATTGCCATTCGCCAGTTTAAGGGAAAATATTTTAAAAACATATATATTTTCAGTTCATTTTAATCTAGCATTTAATTTAGTGCTGAGAAACTAAATGCCCATTGTTCATGTGACAACATATTCTTATTTCCTCTGTTATATTTGTTTGGGGTTTTTTTTGGTTTTTTTTTTAGGGTAGCTCTGTATAAGAGAATTCTTCAAATATAATTTGCAGGTAACATTTCAAATACAATAACGGCAATAGATTACATAATGCATAAAAAACCCCATGCCTCTCCACTCTGGCCAATGAACAGTCTGTATTCCCAAGAAATGTGAAATAAAATTCTCCGTTCTCCAAGGTTATCATTCTTCTGCTGTCCTTTTCATTATTCACTGGCAAATACCTCAACATGCTTTGAAAATGAAGTCTGGGCACAGCCTTAGAGTCAAGTGCAATACAGAGACAGAAAGGACTTAGAAGAGATCATCTCCTTCACCCATGCGCATTGAGGCTTTAGATTGGTGCTCTTCATGTTTGCACATGATTAACAGGACTTTCATCAGTAACATACAGAGCACAGCAATGAACTTCAAATTTTACTAGTAATATGATAATGAAGAAACCTATCACCAAAAGCCAAGAAAAGTTCTCTCGTCACAGCCTGATAGGCTGCAGAAAAGACTGGAAGATCTATACCTAGGAACCAAATCTAGGACCTACAGAGAACAAAACTGTTTTTCATAGGAACTGGAAAGGTTTCTCAAAGGTTTTTCACTTCTCTCATCTGAAGTGATTTCAAAAGTATATAGACATTAATATTTTTTCCAGTATAATGGGTACATCAAAAATTAGAAGGTGTATTCTATCTTCTATAATTGCTGCAAGTTTCAATATACTATTCAAATTGCATTTTTGTTAAGCAGAGAAACATTTCCCAACAAAGGTAAGCGTAATTAACTTTTAAACACAAAGTTGTCAAGCAGAAGACTAAATGCTGAATTTATTTTCCTCTCATTGATCAATTAGGGGCATAATGATCATTGGATTAAACATTGAATTCTCCGTATTTGCAGTGTTTTCCGCATGACAGAATTCATAATTATTTCTTTTGCATTCTTAAAAACTCTGAAGCTTCATTTACATGCAATCTAGGTTTCCTATATTTGCTTTGCTATGCCTTTAGTGATAGACTAAATCACAACTATAGAAAGGGAAAATTGATTCTAAGGTTTCAACATTTTTAACTCACATCGATTTTTTGAGAGATTATTAAGAGAAAAAGACATGTAGAACTTGAGGAAAATAAAAAGTCAAGTAAATGGTGCATGAAATAATAATTTTACTTGAGGGATATACATACTAATAAGGGAAAATTATTCAAAGTGATGTAAGAAACTATAAATATAGTAAGATAGGTAGAAATAGCAAACCAGAGAAGATCATTTTAACTCAATATCTTAATGCAATGATTAGTTTAAAATTTAAGACCTCCATTGTCTCCAGAAAATAAAGTTCACAAAGAACTGAATGCCTCAAAATGGCAATATAGGGTTATGTAGCCACACAGCACAATGAATACAGAGAATGACACTGGCAGCTCCACAGAACTTCAGTTTAGGTAGGCCTGAGCCTCTTTGAGGGTAGGGAGTGTATATGTCTTGAGAGGTGCTCTAGACTTCACAGAGAATCTAGTTCCATTTAAAGAGATTAGAGCATAAACCATTTTAAACAAGTGGAACCCAAATGCTAAAATAATTATTCCATTGTTCAAACTCTTCCAACCTTAAGAGGAAATATTTAACACAGCAATGGGCAAAAAAAAAATATTTAAAAAAATATTTTAAAATAGCTGAAATAACTTTCATAGATCCAAGCAAGCCCATGTTTGTAAAGAACAATACATGTACATTACAAGAGAAAACCCCTCACTTACAAAATCTTAAACAAAATTCAAAGCCAAAAAAAAAAACCCCAAAGTGGCACCAATGGTCTTTACTCTTTACCTGTATGTTAAAAGCAGCAGATTTAAAATAAGCATTTTAAACATACCAGAATCTGTAGAAGTACAGAACAAAGCAAAACCAAATAGTGATTTGCAGCCATGCTTCTGAAATACAAGGGCAACTCACAATCTAATCAGTACATGCTAACTATACAATTATCCCATCCTTTAATTAAAAACTTACAAAAGACTTCCAGGTGGTATAGGATGAGTAAAGCTTGGCCTCTAATTTTTTTGTTCTTTAGAGAGTTAATAATTTAAATTTATGACTAGTTTCACTTTAAAGGAAAATTTGCATCTCTTCATGTCATACTATTTCTCATATATAGTGATTAAAAAAAAATAACAAAAAATTAAAAGAACTTATAAAGATGAAAAATTATATAGTTGAAATTCAATCACTTTGGTTTAGGTCACTCAGTGAACATCTCCAAAAAGCCTTTGTCAATAGCTGGTTTAAATAAATCCATCAAAGGAGGACTTAGCAACAAGTATAATGCCAAAAATTAATAAAAAAGGAATCACACACTTCTCCAAAATAGAAGATGACAGACAGTGCTAAAGATAGCAAAAGGACCACAGTATTCTATCAGAAAACATCTGAAAGCCTCTATTTAAATGAAAAAGAAAAAGCCCTGGGTTTGGGAGAGAGCACAGTGACTCTGAAACACCTCCAAGTGAAATAACCTGGGAAGGATACTGTGATGTGCCACAGGGAAATTCTCACATACCATTTTAATGGCTTTACATTGAATAAAAGGCTGATGCAGCCTCTAAAAGCCCTGTCGGCCTCAAGAAGCTTTCCTCTACTCCAAACCATTACACACAGAGCCAGTACAAATCTCTGGCACAGTAGGACAGAGGTTGAGCTGATGAGATGCATCAGGGCCACAATGCAGTACTCTGTGGAGATCTCAGTGCAGTGCTATGACATCTAGTAAACCCTGAAGGGGCTGCCTTTAAACAGACACACTTCAAAGACATTTACAGATCACCAGGGACCACTCCCACCCATAAATCCATCAGGATCATGTTAAAATAAAATAAAACCCTTGAGTAAAACTCAGAAGGCTCAAACCCCAGAAAATAATATTAAAAGGCATCACTTGCAGCAAACAAATTTTGTGTTTACTGACTTTTCCAATGGTAGCAGTACTACTAATTTCAGATTTTGAATACCATCCTTCCCCTATGCAGTAATCAACAGTTGATTCTTAAGGACTAAAATTTGCCTATACATATGTAACCAAACAGAGAATCTGCAGCCTGTCCCTCATCCCACTTCTATGCTTGGGACTGACAGGCTTACTCTGACATCACTGGTAACCTGCACATCACCGTGACCTGTAACTTCTTACAAAGTATTAAGAGTCCTTGCTTCATACTAGGTGAGAGATTATAAACAATGAAAAACTAGCAAACAGAGATCTAAGATGTTGAATTTGGTTGAATAATTCCAACTATAGCAGCATTCCAAAAGGCTTACAATCAAGCAAATTCTCACCAGTTGAATAAGCTGGCTACTTAGGTCCATCAGGGGTTTATTGGCAAGCAGAAGGTCTTCGGCAGTCTGCGTGTCCCCCCCTGTGCCAGACTTCTGTGCCTTAATAAGATGAGAGAAAATAAAAAGCAACCTTGGTGACTGTTCTGTTATGAGGAACAAATTAGGTCCATTAGGTGGTCAAAGTGTGAATGGAAGTCTGAGGGAGACTTATACAACCCTTCTCTAGTTAAGAATTCCTGTGCTCCCAATGAGCAGCTATGGTCCCGATGTCTGTGACAATAAGCACAAAGCAAACGGGACTCATGCTGTCATGCCCATTCTGCACAGGCTGAATATACTGACCTATATGACATTTCTTCAGCAAAGTGCAATAATCTGTACATGGAAAAGATATCCCCAAACTCATAAATGTTTTATGTATTTGTAATTTATTTCAACATAACATGTCTATTTTAACATTAAAGTTTAACTGGTTTTATTCCCTTTATCAGGAACAATTTTACATGCAACTCAAACAAAGAAAATCAAGGTGACTGAAAATTTAGGATTCTCATCGATGTTGTCCAATTTTGCCCTTCTGACTCATCTTGTATCCTGAAATATTCACAATATATTATAGCAATTTGAAAAAAAATTAAACAGGAACAATAAAGTCTTCCAGTGACCAAACTCTGCGATAAGACCTGTCACTACTTAAAAATTAAACAGGAACAATAAAGTCTTCAAGTGACCAAACTCTGTGATAAGACCTGTCACTACTTGTAATTCTGACCACTGACATCCCCCCTTATCAAGACACACTGCCACCCTATTTATGACCCATTCCTGCCCCAGGGCAACAGAAAGATCTGCTTGAAAGATTTTTCATTCAATTTCATTATCTTGCCACCAGCTTTGGACCATGACCCTATAGACAGTCAATCTGCTAGAGGAAAAAGTAAATATTTTGTCTGAAGATAACATTTAAAAATCATTTCGTATTGTGCTTCATTTATAGCTCAACCTTAAAAATCACCATCCAAATGTAATACCTGAAGATTTTAATTTGGTTAAGCGAACAGAGGAACAAGGCGCCTAAGAAGGAGACACTGCTCCTCAGGCTCCACTGTTGATACTGAGGAGTTGAAAGGGCAATGCCTTTCTTCTGAAAAGAATTTTGAAATAAAACAGAAGTGAAGAGTTGTTTCCCCAGGTAATAAGTCACATAGGTATGTCTCTCACTGAGACTAACCACAATGACCTGGAATGCTGATGCCCAAGAAGGGCAAAAAGACAGTGCAGAGAAGACAAAAACATGGAATGTTCATATTAATGAAAAAAGGCAAGTAAGCCACCTGCACTTCAGCAAAATTTCTAACAGCTTTTTTCTGGTTAGTGCTTGGATAAGAAGATAGATATCCTTCCATCAAGGATGTTTGACTACTTTCTTTAACTTTTATGTGTTTTTTGGGAAAGAGAATGATTAATATCACCACAGGAATTATACATTATATACTACACCATGCTTAAACCTACATTAAGTTACTAAATAGAGTCTACATCTCATATTGAGATTGCAAATTCCTTTCAGCTACTGTGGATCACCTGTGGCATATAATGTGACGAAACTTCACCGAGACAGATATCCAGACTAATCTGAAACTTTGTACCACTTGCATTAAAACTTCCATTAAAACACATACAAAGAGCAAACTCAGGAATGAACCTGGATACAGTTATCAGCAGTTTCCAGCATGTGAAGGGCAATGGAAAAGTGGTGTCATGTTTTGCCTACGCACCTGGATAAGGTTATCACTTTACACATAAAATGCTAAAATAAAAAAGATTCAAGTGGAGGTACTACCGTCTGTAAAAGGCAACTTGAGACTAAAAAATTAATACTAAAAGAAAATTTGATTTTTTTTCAAGTTCTGTTTTAGAAGGTGTCTTATTCAGAAGATTTCTGCACAAAGAATTATATTCGTTATCACTACAGTGATGCACTTAGTGACATGTGGATAGAGAAATACTATGTAGTCACTAACTAATGGCCATCGTTCAGTCACCACCAGGGCATGTGTACTGAGGCACCTGTGGAACTCTCAGTGGCCTTGTGACAAGGATTGTCAAGACAAGCAAGCCAAGGGCAAGTAACATCATCATAGTTCTATAGGAGCACAGGACGGAGCTATGCTTCAAAACTCAGTTTTCCAGATGCTTCTTGTTACCCATTAGCCTTCCACACCAAAAAGATTACTTTGACTAGAGTTAGACAAAACTGGAGCTGGAGTTTTAGTGCATCAATCAACTGATGTATTCAAGTAAATCCAGAAGAGAATTGGTCTTAAATGAATAGATTTAAATTTTATCTAAACAAAAATCATCAGTTTGACTAATATTACCAACCCCTGCACAGGATCCTCTTTCCTCATGTGTCCTCCAGGATAACTGGCCTCACCACTTTGTATGGAGCATAAATACAGAATTTAGCTCTGTGTGACTACATAGAGTGATGCCAAAAATATGACAATCAGCAATTAGTCTACAAAATTTGATTTACATAGTGATTGTTAGATGAGAAAACCATTACAGAATCTGCTAACAGAGGATTCAAAAAAGACAAGGTATTGTACCATGACATCTAGATTTTTCTTTCAAAAATTAAAATAAAACAAAACAAAAACCTCTCCCAGTGAAATATCTGGTTCATAAACATAGCTGATTATGTAAATCAGTGTAGAAAAAAGGGAAAAAAACCCCTCAATTTTCAATATCAGCTTCTTACATTAAGCCCTCTTAAAAAAAAAGAAAAAACCACCAAAACACTCCAAAACAACCAACCAATGAAACAAACCAAAAAACCCAAACCAAAACCCCCCAAACCCAAACCAAAAAACTACCAACCCACAGAGGAAGACCCTGTCAGAACAAAGCAGCCACATCCTGGAAGACAATACAACCCATTTGCAATCTTTTCAGTCTCTATTCTCCAGATATATTTGACCTGATAAGCTTCTCTGTTCTTCACGGGATAATCCTAACAACATCAAAAGCCTGACATGAAGAGTACACATTGTTGTCTGCAGTGTAAATAACAGAATCATAGATACAGAAGTTACTTCCACTTGACTAACTTCGAAATTTAGCAGACCATTTGAAAACAAAGTTTGCTAGCTTAACATAATGTCTAAAAAAAGATGAATGCTTTTTCTTGATATGTTAATAAGTGAGTTATGTGAAATTTCTTTGAATAGTATCTTTTTGTGCTTCATTTTTAAGGAGAAGGAGGTCTTTGTTAGAGGAGGAAATCCTACCAATGCCATGACTTGCAATGGTTCAAACAGAAACTTGGAAGACAAGTTGAGCTTCCACCACACTCAAAAGTCAATAAAATCAGAATAGTGGGAATCTCATTATTAGGATAACAGAGGTTATCTAAAATTTTTTTTTAAGATGGTGGTGACCCCAGAAAATAAGTCCCATACCTGCGAAGTTTGGTGCACAATGTTTTCTGTATACTTCAGCATGCATTGCAAAATGTCCAGCAAGGACCGCAGCAGTGCACCTGGTGTCTTGGTGCTGCTTTTGTCATCTGCCTCCAAGTACAGTGGCACAGTTTGCATTAGGAGACGGCGGATGTGACAAGTCAGTCCTACATAGAAAGTGAGACCAAAAAAAAAAAGAAACAGGTTATCAGGGAAAGAACAATGTGGAAGGTGATTAGAACAACAACAAATTTTACGTACATTATGAATATTTATTAAATTTCCTCTTTTTATCCATTATTAGAATTACCTCCTCTCCTATTCTGTTTGCACCAGCTCATAAAGAGAGTTAAATTTTGCTAATTGCATAGAAAATTATATGACATTCATTAAATTAAAACATACTTTGAATCCTAAACTCTTCTGTAGCATGGTGGTACACAAATCTCTTTCACAACACCTGTGGTCACAAGAACTTATCAATTTCTCTAGGCTGTTATAAAAGTGACACTTCAAGGTCAGAGCCTAAAGTTTCATAACTGAGCCTGAAGTTTCTGAATTGGCCTGCCAATTGGAACCTTACCCATATGCTTTAACAGTAGAATTGGTTATGCTTAACATAAAATATATTCAGAAGAACATTATAAATGTTTTGGATACTGAATACTACACCTAGAATGTTAAGATTTGTTTGACTGATGGTAGTAAAAACTTTCCTGAAAATACCATCTTGCTTTGAAGGGGTTTTTTTAAGCTCCTTTAGAATTTGACATCAGCTCCTGTAGCTTCCCCAATCACAAATCAACTGATATAGCAGAAAAAATATAATCCATTTCAAGGCAGCACTGATTCAATTCAGAATCTATCTTACTTTCAAATACAAAGTGACTGAGTTCATTATATTTGATCTTAATCTTTTACTTTCAGAGTTTCATAAGGTATGAAAGATAGTTTGTTAAGAAACAAAAACATAATATGTTTGTAAACTCTCTCTTAAACTAACAATTAGGTTTGGGTTTAGATCTAGAACTTGAGTACACACATGTAGTAACACTATAGCGTATTAACTTCTAGTCCCCATGACTGTTGCAAATAACAAAAGCATTTCACTGATTTAAATGAAGTAAATAAACTGCTTCTGTAAGTTCTCATTTTAAAAGTAGTTGCATATATTTTTACAAACATCAATACACGATTGAAATAAAATATTGTAGAATACATAATGTGCTTACACCTTTCAGCTTTTGAGAGAAGTCAAATCTGTGGGGTGTTGAACTATTTTGGCTTTGAAAGATGCTCCATCAAATCACTAAACTTCCCATGAAGCATCTTCCTCCCCTGTTGCTCACCCTTAATACTTTCCTCAGGAAATTAAATACAAAAAACTTTACTTTAGAATACAGTTATGGTTCTGGATCATTAAGACTCGTGCTCTGCTTCCATCTCACATCTTTTGTGCTTTTATGATTACTAGCATTATTCCTTCACAACAGTTTGATTGATGGACATCAGTTCAGGCTAAGCTTTGAATTTCCTGGAGTTTTGTCTGAATAAACCAAGCTCTCAAAATTAAATCATTCTAATCTCACACATTTAATTTCCTTCTCCTTTTTCAGAATGCAATTTCTGCTGCAGTTCTGAACACTTCATACAAAAATGAGATACCATGCAGAGACACATTTAAGTGATGTCACCGATACCCATCAAGAAGGAAAAAACCAGACATAATTGTATGTCTACCCGATACTAGTTATTCTGTGACTATTTTCAACAGGCTAAATAAATCAGAACAAACCTAAGAAAACAATCCGGTAAAACTTGGTCCCTATAAAAGTGATGTCTGAAAAACTGCTTGCATGACCAAGTACACTCTGTTTCAGCCTGTATATGGCCACAAAACCCACAGCCACATCAAAATGAATGAGTCACCCCATTCTTTCCAGATGGCTTTACATATGACCCTTAAGATGGTGACTTGGATATGAATGCAGGCAAGAACACCTTCAAATGAAGGCACTGCATTGTATTGGTCATCATTTAGAATTTTTTAGGCAGTAGTCCTCTCTGCATTTACAGCACTAAGTAGGGTAATGACTAGTAGTGGATGAAACACCAGGATCCATGACTGATCGGCAATTATTTCTCTTTCAGCTTTGAACAGAATGATTGTTTATTCCCTTGACTCTACCAGCCTGAGTCTCATAACTGCCTCATTTCTGCTCTTTGGTGAACAGGGAGGTGAACCAAACACTCAGCCTTTTCCCAATCCATCGAAACCTGAATAAAAAAATCATCTAGGTTTTACTCTCTTGAAGTAGTTACATCCTAAGGGTGTGAATATTAGCAACCCTACCTCCAAACACCTGAGATATTCATGTTAACTAAACCATTTTATATAGGTAGATACATGCTTACACAGAGCTATACATACAATATATGTACAGAGTATATGCATACTAAATCTGGAAATTTGGGGGGGAAAAAAGACTTCCTGGACTTACAACACCTTTAGAAAATTCTAATAAAGTTTTGGTGTGTTAAAAAACATCTAAAATAAAACACTGGTGCAAAACCTTCCCTAACACACTGCATGATTCACACAGAAACCTGATAAACACTCGGTTTCACAGATTAAAGCAACAGACTGACCACTCGGCCAAGTAAATAAAGTTTCAGACATGATCTTTAAAATATTTTCTTGTGTCACAACAAAATGAAAATTGGAGGCCACAGTTGTAGACATATAAATATACTCCTTCCTTACACCACAAGACAAAATACACACTCTTTGTCCTCAGAAGAGAAAGTTGGGAAGTTGCTATAATTTACAGTGACCATGACAAAACTCCATAGAATTTTAATGGCCTTGGCCACTGGCTCTGTAACCAGTTTACTCAAAAGGCAGCTATAAAGATCAAGACTAACATGTCTCAGCATTCCAAAAATTGAATCCCAAAAGAGGTAGTCTGAAAAAATGGACACAATTCTAAAAAATAAAGAAGGAAATAGTATTCATAATTCAGTAAATCATAATATACAAATCACATATGGGTCTCTACATTTCAGATTTTCGCGCAAATTCTACAACAGATTCAAGAATCACATTTTTGTTAATTTCCCATAAAACCTAGACCAATATTTATCTTTAAGAACTTCAAACACTATATTTCAGTCATATTTAACAGCTATAAGTTTCTTATGCAGAAATTCTCAACTCTTCATTAGAAACTAAAATGGGCTCTGAATCCGAAGGCACACACGCCATGCACTCCTGAACTCTGCAAGTGGTGGATCTGCACACGAATTCTGTATCATAGAGGAGAGGTAAACCAAATTCAGTTGAGGAAGATGGTTCTACTGGGACAAGCTACATATATTTAAGCATTCTGGTACTTCCAAGTATGTTGGTAATAGTTCACCTTCTCAAGAGAAAAGTGTTAGTAACAGGTTGCATGGGTAAGGGTAATGCACCATAATTTCTTTCAGCTAGGCATTTCTTAGTAAGAGAATAAAGCAAAATCTTGCCATTTAATTTACTACAGATTTCTTTGGTTACTCTGTTAATTTGCTAATTTCTGCAAACCAAATATATCATAACATATTGTTTGTAGCTATAGATAGTTTACACTTATCACAATACTTTATAGTGCAAAAGTCATGCTTTGTATTTATTTGCAAAAGGAGAATCTTCAAAATATCAAGCCCCAGTGCAGTTCTCTCCTATTCACATTTTGCTGAAAAATAAGGCAGAACTTGCATTTTGTATTAGAATTAGTGTGTTTATGAATTAACATAACTGGAATTAGACAAAGAACCTTTTCTAATTGTGGTCCAAGATTCATAACACGTATTAAAATGATTGTATCCAGAATTCCTAGCCACAGACTTAGAGCTTTGACAAACCTAGTATTCACAGCAGAGTATTTCTCCTGCCCAGAGACCCCTGCAATGAACTGAATACGTTGCTAATAGTGCTTTATGAATGTGGACTGTGATGACTATGCTAGTGTTTTACAAATCTTTTCAAAAGATAAAAGGAGTCTTTTGGCCCATGATACAGCTAATCGGACTGAATGTGCCATGCTACCTTCTGGAATGAAAGCTGAGAGGAGATATTTTATTCTCACCTATTAGCAGGATGGATAAAGGAAAAGAAATCTTCACTTCCAAATCATATGAAACATCAAAGGACAGCCTACGAAGCAATCTTCTAGGCAATCCTTTCATGCCTACCAGCAATTAGAGCATTCAACAAACCTGTCTGCTTCCAGCTGAAGAAAATGTTAGAGCAGGTGCACTTCCTCCGAACAATGCCACCGCACAGCCAAGCAGCCAGCAGCAAAACTCTCAGCCCAGCAAAAAGGTTTCTCTTTGTTCCTCTCTACACATTGCTCTCTGGAGAGCCATTTTTCCCATTTGTATCACACCTACACAACTGACTCCCCAGGGATATTACCAAATATATATTCACTAGACTTTTCTTCCTTCTTTTACTCACAGAGTGGACCTGCGATATTGCTAGACTATTTTATAATCTTTTAAATTTCAATGGTAAAACTCACAAATATTGCTAAGAAAAAACACAGGACTGCATTATGACAGATGCATTCACACAGGAATGAGTTCTTCAGTACCCAAGCACTTAAGATAATCCATGATGTCACAAAGATTTTTCATAAAACCTTATTTATGTACATAAACCTGGGATGCAATTTGAATTTCTTTGCATCACAGCGTTACTACTCCAGTTTTCCTATTCTGAACAACTGAAAATAGGCAACATAAAGCAAATGGTATCTTTAGGGTAATGGCACTTTTAAAAGAGGCTCATTGCTTTTAATGCTATTTTTGTTTATTATTTGTTACTGTTTGTGTTCTAGGAACTATTTGTCTTAGTGCTACAATAATGTTGAGGTAAGGCTAAACTAGGATCGAAAATTAAATCACCGATGATTTCAAAATTTGGTGAGTTATGAATGTCAGATCAAGTGGAAAGTACAGCTGTTGAGCACATCAATTGCATGACTGCTGCCCTGAAAATTATTTCTGATCTTAAAAATTAATAGGATCTAAAGAAGAAAATTTTGCACATACTGGATAGTCTATTCCTAGTACTGGTACAGTGATTGGACATTTTATGACAGAATAAAGAATCACTAGGTTTGTA